AGCTTCAGTCATTTTAGGGGCATACATTATTATAGAATGAAAAGACGGAATGTCAAAGGGCAAGTCAGCTTATATAAAAGCTGGCTCAATATAACATAAAAATATATGATGAAAAGTTTTTGTTCATTGAGTTGCATATGCCCTTAAAGAGAGCGTGTATTTAATTAGATCTCAGCCCAGCAAATGCTCAGGCTCTGCAGGCCACCTTGGATCAAATGGCATAATCAGTACCTATTGCTGTGGCACTACTTACGTGAGTAAAGATATCTCTCCTGTTGCAGTCAAACAGTAGATTTGAAGTTCTATGCACTTTAATACCATCACTGTTAGATCTAAGCTTCAATAAACCATATACAAGTTCAGCAACTAGTTGCACCATTTAACTTTCCCAAATGTAATTCTCAATATTACTAAATACAGCCAACTTAGATGAGACCTTGACAACTGGCAATAGAGATGGTGATCATTCATACATTATTTTATAAACAGTACATGGACAATGCACAATTACAGGGACACAATACTAATTTTTCACCTCAATATCATCTTTCTTATCAAAAAAAAGAGGTGTTAAGATGTGAAAACAGCTTTCCTGGCCATTCTGTATTTCTAAAAGATATGGTTTTGACATTTGGGAAGTAATGATATCTTAGAAAACCACACTGGGAAATCAGGGAGAGGGAGGATGCTTTCAAACCCTTAGCTTCAAAGGATGAAGACATCCACAAAACACAAAACCTAGACAAAACAGTAACCTAAGAGACATTGTTTGTACAAGGGAGCACAATAGTTTCAGTTGTCACATGTCCAGGCAATTAGAGATGTTTTCAATCATACTGAAAAAAAAACAGGAAAAAAACAACCAAGACCAGCTGGCCTGAGAGAACAGAAAACAAACGTGTAAGTTTTTAGCAATGGGCAATATTACTTATCAGCAAGCTGTTAAATTAGTCATAGCGCTAGAATTTTGGAATAAACTTTTGCTATCTATTCATCTACTAAAGCTAAGACCAGCTAAATACCCCTTATTTACCTATTTATATCTGAATAATGTTAAAAATAAAAGCAGTTTGTCTATTAATCAGAACCATATGGCTAGCAAGTTCGTTGTTTTGCTTTATACTCAGAACGGGGAGAATGGGAATACCAGCTGAAACGTTGTATATATAGATAATCAATGAGTAATAACTGATCTATCTACATGGTTAGTTACTCTTCTGCTGGGGCAGTGAGGGATGAAATAACCTGTTCATCAGCTGATCTCATGGAGTACCATAAGAATATGGATGGCACAGCATTGTGCTCCAAACATCACCATTTTTGTCTTCTCATCATTTGAGACATCAAGACTGGCTCATAGCCGACTGTAGCAAAGTGTTCACTACACACTCTGACTTTACCGCATCCATTTATCGGTGTATGTATACCATTCCACTGATGTAGGATCACAGCTAACTGATTTTTGAACTGTGAAAATTCCCTTTTTGGAATTTCGGAATATAATATATGCACTCGGACCCAAATACCTGATAATTTTAAAAACCAGACAGATCAAAACTCCAGTGCCGCTTTTTAATTCTGATGTTTGATGCTTTTGTACTATTCACAAATTTCATTTGGGTACCACCTCATTGAAAAAAATTCAATTAGATGGTGAGTGATTCATTACCAAAACACACTCCTGTAGTCCAAACCCCTTGCCAGTGGGGCTGGTGCATAATAACTACTTATATCTTACGGACTTAACAATTAAGGCAATAAAAAGACATAGAAAGTGACACCAGAATACACTTTCAAAAATCATACTACGTTGACTGAAAGCATTACAAGTGTCACTATATTTTGAACAAGCTACGCTCACTTTGTAGCTACATTAAAATCAAACCAGAAGGAGCTTCTCTTAAGTAGCACATGCTTTCGATACCAAAGTGACCCCATAGCTGATAGCGGTTAGAATTGTGCTTTTTAACAATGAAAACCATTTTGCCTGGAAACATATGAGCAGGGGAAAAATCAGTTTAAATCAATCAGCTCTATTGCAACTATCACAATATTTTAAGGTAATTGATTTTTTTCAAAAGTTAAGTAAACTAAGTTAAGAAAAGTAAACTTAACTTTCAGGTTTTACAATTTAATTTTAGAGTGAGGTGTACTGGCAATCAGAAAATGCTAATGTTACAGCTGACCACCTCCAACAAACAGTTCCAAAAATTGTGTCTTAAACACCGGGGAACTAATTGAGTTTTTACACTAACTGTAGTCAAATTTGCAATACAAATACATTCCACACACATTTGATTCTGTCTGAGACGCACTGGCCAGGTGCAATGCATTCTGTAACTTCTGGTAAATAGATATTCGGGCAATAAGAACTCCTAAATTGAATAGTTCCTATACCTCACAATTTATGACAGAATTTATGACAAAACACCAATATAACTTGTATATGTATATAAACTACAGTTAACAGAAATAGCTGTAAAATATAGAGAAGTACTCACTGGTGATGGGTTGATTTTTTGCAGAATTTCTTATGTGTTCACCAGCTGGACCTGTTCACGCCTACTTAAGTTTAACTACGTCATTTTATCAGCTGTCTATTTTAACTACTGTGGTAACAGACTAAGAAGGTTGCCTGCATCAACTATTGCAAGGGTTCAGGTAGCTCACGGTAATTCAAAACGCACTCGCAATTCCAAATCAGAGAGAACAATCGAAAATTTATTTTGTAACTCAATATAAACATGTCAAATTATAATTTACAATTTTTTTTTGTGACAACGTTGGCGCATGATGGGGCGTACATTCTGTACTCCTGACTACCACTAAAGAAGTAGTTTACAAACTACTGCATCAGAGTTCATGGCTGTTAAATGTGCCACATTAGAGTGTTGTGAGAAGTTATAGACATATGTGAAAATGGCTTTATTGGCCATGGTAGGCACAGCCTGGGACCTAAGGCAATGAAAAGTATTTTACACACATATAAAGGCTATAATTAATATGTGTAACTCTAGCTTTATTAGGCAGCGGGTGTTAACAAAGTTTTTGACACCATGAAGTCTGGCCTGGTACCAAGAGCTTTAACTTAAAGTATGAGAAGACCTAGTGCCTTCTTGGACTAAATGGGAGGAGATGAGAAAAGGCTATTGAAAGTACTGAAATCTGTGACAAAATGTAGCGTGCCACCATGATGTTGACAAAAGTATTTCACAAGACTCTGAAACAGTTTGCAAGTTGCACCAAACATGAAAATATTCAAGCAGTGCTGTGAAAAGCTATGAAAAAACCCCATTTATTTTTAACCATACTGGTTGCAGTTGGGGGCCAAGAGAAAATGGCAAGCTGTCTGTGAATGTGTAAAGTTCATTCCTGAAAAATATGCCAAAATGGGAGATGAAAACATCTCAGTACTATCAATATATTATGACACTGAGAAATGTATTTGGCAGCAATATTAGGTGTGGCTTTGGAACTTGAGCGATGGAAACTATTTTAGCCAGTATTTTATCTGTGCAAAAATAGGCAATTTTGTAAATAGTTTGGAAAGAAAAAACAACAGAAGGAGATTAAGAAAACAATAAAAAGTAAAAATAGGACAAAAATCTTTCAAAATTTCTAATTCCAAACCTTTTCTGATTATGCTTTTTAAACACATGAATGTCAATTTAACACAAATTAAACCCAACATGAAGCTGTAACTGATGTAAAACAAAACACAATCCAATAGGATTTATAGAAAAATGAATAATTCACCAGATAATCTGAAACCATTTCAGATTCAATGTATTTCAAAATGTTTTTGTTGAGGGGTAGATTTCTCCTTCTTACTTCCATTTTTGGAATCATCAATGCTGCTGTTATAGTTACAATAGTCTAACTATAGTATTTACATTTCAAATTTCTGATTTCTCTAGTGGAATTTATGACTTTGTGATGGTACCACTGATGTTTTCTGCTTTAGAGGTCTGCATCTGCAAAACGGCAAAACTATGATGAGAAATGAATGCAATGAAACACGATGAAGGTAGAGCAGAGATACTGAGGGGGCAAAGTATATCTTGCCTTTGATCACAAGCATCACCAGGAGGCATTAGATGATCTAAAATGAATTTCACACACATCAGATTTTCTTCTAAAACTTTTGCTTATAACTGTTTGGACTGAACCAGAAAACAGTGTAGTTTAGTGTACTGCCATATTCATTTTGGAGTAATTTCAACTGTTTTGCTTAGCTTTCATGGTTTGTGTTTTGACAGTCACCTGAGTCTAACCGAAGACTTTAATCCTGAAACAAAATAACAAAATGACTGGTTTGATGTTTTTAATGTTTCTTTTCTATGAATGCTATTTAAATGCATCAATGAAAATATAATGAAATGAAAATGAATTCATGTTTGTCCTTTTGTCAGGAGAACTGTGTGCACTTTGTGTTGGAAGCATTGACTACAGGAGCAGACATGAAGCCAGTGACAAGCATATGGCCCTGCCTTGAGCATGACCAAAAAGTCTACTGTACACTCAAGCTCCATTGTAGAGTATAAACAAACAAGCAACACATACAACAGTTAATACTGTAGTAAAAAAAATCTACATCTTAGATGGAGTGGGGTCAAAATAATAAGCAAAGTAAATTAACATTTACAGATAACATTAAGTCCTGTACTGTGAAACCTCCATCACACAACAGGAAGGTGCAAAAGGGGGTAGAGCATTTAACTACAGATCAAGAGATCCCTATTTCAAATCCTGGTGTCCTTTTCCAAAACTAGCAACAGTCTTTTAACCATGAAAAATGTACAAATGTCAAAAAAGTATCAATCCTGTAATTTCAGAAAAATTGGATCATTCATTGAAACAGAGTTCAAACATTGTGTTTCGGTTTGCCAGTAAAAAAGAACTTCACGTCCAAGTTTCATCTTAAAAATGGGTGTATTTTATCTGCAAATTAGCCCATCTATGAGACTGTGAATGTAAGTAATAGTCAGCCAAGAAGAGCAGAAAGTATAACTCAGTGTCAGAGCATTTGACTGCAGATCAAGAAGTCCCTGGTTCACTTCCTAGTGCCCCCTTTAAAACAGCCTAGCTGTGTTTCAATCCAAAATTTATCTTATGTTCAATTATTTCAAAATTCATGCAATAATTACAAGCAGCGTCATAGCTATTATAGTTATTAGGAAGTGTTTGAGGGCAGATCAGTAAGTTTGCATTTCAGCTTTTCTGTCTCCTTCAAAAATCACTTTCAATTGTTTTTTTTATACTTGGAAAAAATCGCAATTTGACACTTTATATGCTACGCTAATTTGATCAGGGTGCATAGGTTAGTATTTATCTGCTGATCATGAAATTCAGTATCTTGGTTCACCCTAAAAATATACATATTTCTGGTTTTGTGAGTTGTTTGCCACTTGCTTTATGTCTGCTCCTAATATCAATGGTTTTGACATGAGTTGTGCTGACTGCAGTTAAACTTCCTGTGGACAGAAATGCATCTCATCCTTAAAGAAACCTTTTTTCATGTATAATTACATCTGATACATTGAAATACATATTATAAAATAAAAATACAGGGACAAAAACAACAAAATTAACTATCCAAAGGTACATAAACCTTGAACATTGAAAGATTGTCTTCATCTGTCTATAACTCATAGGTCATAGATAGATGGAGACAATATAATGTCCTATAAATATTAGCAAAAGTACCTCCTAAAAACAAGTTATATATTCTGCTGATGTAGTAAATTCCCCCTTTTTATAAAAAGGTCATACAAAATACATGATTAATTTCAACTTAAATGCTGTAGAATAATAAGATACAAAATTGCATTCATAGCTTGGTCTGCAGCTCGTACTTAGCCACCGGTCCAACCAAGTATTCAAACCATAGCTACATATTGCACTTGTATGAGTGTGACTGTTCACATGTTTAAAAAGGTCATTTGTGGGCCTACGACCACAGTAGTTATATGTAAAGGTAGCTACATACTTTACTCGTCTTTCTGTGTGCTAGGACTGTTCTGACATCCAATCCTGGCTGCTCTAGAATTAGGACTTCAAAATAATCATTAAGGAGCTACATAAACTAAAATGCAACGCCAAGTTATCATTGCACTGTGGAACCAACCAAACTCAGTTTACTAAAATGGTTTGTAAAAAATCATAAACTGCTTGCCTTGAACCATTCAAGTTGGGCAACTTGATCTAAGTTAGTAACCTTTGCCCTACTCAAATTTTTCAAGGCAATCTATTCCCAGAAACCGCTGCATCTAAAAGAATGTTTTCAGAAAAAGAATTTTGCTACAGAGGACCATTAGCATCTGGTGCTAAACCTAGCCAGAAGCTACTGACTAAGGACACCAGAGACATTTCATTCAATCCATCAAACAATGGATGTACCACGCTTTCGTCAAGTTTAAGTGGTAAACTGGCATCACAACAGTATTATTAAAAGAAATATGATTAGCAGCTGTTTTGATGAATTACCTTACATTACACTGCAGTCATTTAGCAGACACTCTTATCCAGGGCAACATACAAAGGAGAGAGAACATAAGTGCCACCTAATTAATGCTAGTTTCAGACCTGCCTAACCATGTTTCCAGGCCAGAAAATATATATGCAGCATCACTATGCACCAATGCAAGCTGGCTATGCTACTCCAAGTTATAATACAACTCATCAGCATGAACTCTTGAACTATTGCATTCCATGATAAGACAATACACCAAAAACTAAAATCATAGAATGACAAACCTCAGTTAGGACTTGGGTGCAGGTGAACAGATAAGACATCAGCCCATGTCAGAAGATGGCCAACAATTCTGCTGTCTTGACTTCAGTGGGAAGTTTGTTCCACCGCTGAGTGGCCAGTGCATACAGGCCTTGTGACTAGGAGGTGTGACTATGCAGGGAGTGGGCAGTTAGTTGTTTTATGTCAGCTAAATGGGGAGATCTGGTTGGCGTGTAGATGTTTGAAGATGGAGTCTGACTTAAGTCATGAGGAAGCGGTTCCAATCCCTGCCTTGTAGGCTAGCGCTATGCTTTAAAATGTGATGTGGGCTGTAACAGGTACCCAGTTAGGTGAGATGAGGTAACCAGATACACATGAAATATGATTTTGTGTGTCCCACATTATTTATTTATATTAAAGTGATTTAGTAAAGAATATGTCATGGGTTATAGTCACTGGTACTGGGCTGAGGGGAGGTCAAGGATGCCATTTTGATGGAAATGCTCTGTTTTTCGAGCATGGTATTTTGGCCTTGTTTCCCATGTGAATGCCACAGTTAAACCTCAGCTCAAGCCTTCAGTTTTTCTTTCAAAACTTCCTTGATGACCAGATAGTAAACAAGTTATTAATATTCGTTTGATTGCTTTGATACAAATTCACATTAATTTATCCAAACGAATACGTGAACAAGTTTGTGCAGTTTGTAACTTGTCATTACTGACAGATAAAATTAAGAACACCTAAAACTGGAACTCTCTTACATGTGTTTCCATTTTAAGAAAAAAAAAATAGGTGAAGCCCATTATGTAGTTTTGTTGTACATAAAAAGAAAGAATTTTCCTTTCAATATGTTAAGGATTTAGTTTCAAAACGATCTTATGGTCATGTTACACAAAAAAAGAAAGCAGCATACTTAGGAGATCAACAGAAAAACATTTTATTTTTCCCACAGAAAGGGTAATAACCCTTAATGCCTCCGAATTAAACTGTAAAGCTCCTTTTGTTCTTCCTCTTACACACATTTTTGTTTAAAAAGCCAGGATACAGGTAATTGCAATAGATACCTGATTTTACAACTAATTTTAGATTATTGCACTTGATTCAAAACAGAACCCTCACATGAAAAACACTGATTTTAGTGGCTTTCCACTACACACACTGAATAATCTGGCAGGCTAATTATCAAGGAATTTTAATTCTCACCTCTGAGTAAAAGCACACATGTATGCATGTGTGTGCGCAGGGATGTATTCAGGATTTATTCTTATAGTACGTACACAATAATCCACTGACTATTACCAACTGCCCTCATGGTGGCGCTGGTACAAAAAAAGCTGATGCAGCATGACATGAGACATTAAGACAGCACTGCTAGATTCCCCTCTTAACATGGAATGAACCTTCCTTTGAAACCACCAAGATCCTGTATTTGGAGCATGCACATTGGGGCACCATATTATTTGCAACTTGTCAATTGGCTTACTTGCAGCCATTGTAATGGAGGAGGGAAGTTGCATTGAAACAAAAATGTGAAAATCTATATCAGAAATGTGTTTTATGGAACTGTTGTTATTTAAAAAGCGAAACAAAGAAGAGCAGAAATCGGATTGGCTATTGATGGCCAGTAAACGCCAAAAGTTCCGTAGTGATCAACTTTTTTCTAGGTAGCTGGCTAGATGACTGTCATAACATCAGCTGAGTTCTCCAGATTGCTTAGCCCCATAGGAAATGAATGGACTGTAACAAGCTGACCAACTTGCTTGAAGTTGGAACACAGAATGTAGGGACTGAACTAATCATACTGAGGTAGCTGTGACCAGTAGGAGAGGGTGGTCCTAACTGTATTTGTGGACAGGAAATGAAGGGGGAATTTTCAAATGTCAAGAATGTCCTTTGTGAAGTTATGAAAAATGTTGCATCCAATTATGTGTCCTCAGCATGTTTTACTTTTCATGCATCTGTGCTGTTTCTTATGTGAGTGGTGATCACTGTGCATAGGACATTACGCATCTAGCTCTGCCCAGTGTCAGCAGCTGTACCCTGTCAGGCCGGGCTGACCAGATCTGGTTATGCAAACAAGGGACATTAGACCTAATGATGGGGGGCATCACACAATAAAGGCATGATTGTGATCAGCGCCAGATCGTTGCAATCCAACACATGCAATTTTGCAAAAATGCTATTGCTCAGAATAGCATTATGGTCAAGTACCACACTGATGTCAATTGTCTGACAAAAAATTACCAAATTTTCTAGTCATTTATTGTATTTCCTTATTAATCATGCAGCTTCCAGAAGTACATTTTCCTTCAGTATGTGTTAGTAAAATTGGCAAACCAACATATAGTAATGTTAAAGTCTTTGCCAGACTTAAGTTTTCTTGTAACATTTAAATTTTTATGTTTAATGGGAGATATTATCTCATAAAGTCATATTGTGGGACATTGCCTGCTAATTGATGTGGCACATGCTCAAAATTCTCGACTGTCCCATCAGTGGCATGTCCAATCTATTATAATAGGGGGGCCCAGAATTCAAAATGAATGTGGTGATTGGGCTGTCCTGGCCCAATTTAACCCTTACGTGTTACAATAATAATACCATATTTAAACAACTATTTGTTAAAAGAACATTAAAATATTAAATATTAGGACTATAATAATGCACACAAAACATCTAGCACTTGTACATTTAACACCTGTTCAAAAATATTCCTTGCATCTGGAAAACATACCTGGTTGTCTAGACAATGAAGTAGACAGTAGTGACTGTTCATCGTCGTCATGACTGCGGTCTGAATGTCTATTCTCACTTCATCTTTCACTTGCTGTCTCTTTATCCTTTCCTTTCTTCGTTATGAAGATCGTCTGGATATCTGCTATGATAAACTGTCTTGTCATCTTTTGGCTGCTGATTCCAAAGGTTTGTCATGAGTAAAAACAGAAAAATAGGAAATGAGGAATGAAAATGATGTAAATATTCTCAACCAAATGTAAAACCGTTCCTGAAGAAATAGTGTGGGCTAGCTGAAAGCTGTTGCTTAAAGTTAAAAAAAAAAAAAAATAGCTAAAATATTACAAACAACTGCTCAGTGGTGTCTAATGTGTGTTTTCACGTTGCTATTACTGTATAACTAGATAAAGGAACAGCATCACGGTAATGCCTGTCTTGCATGCTCGCATTTGTTAAATATCCATTCTGACTATCTAGCTACGTTAGCTACAGACGAAACGCCATATTTGCTATATTATAAAAGTGTTGCTGTTCCGTTAACATTACTTGACGTTAACTAATGAGCAGATGGAATGCAAGCTAATACGGTTTACGCTAACTTCGGCA